CCAGTGCTTTGAAATTATATGGTTGATTAACCGCATAGCAGAAGCAAACCGTTGGACTCATTTGGCCATGCCATCTATTGAAATGTTGTACTCTTAGTTAATCTCATAATCTTCCAGTATTAATATTTCTGTAGCAAATCTTACATTTCTCAGTTCATGTCCCTAATTATCCTGTTTTGTCTGTTTCAGGCAGCATTCTGAATGAAGCACTTAATAGGAATTAGTTATGAATAGCTGGAAAGTGCCCTCAAGTCCTCCTTATTTTTGACTTTATCCTTTTTTTAGTGTTGTCTCCACCATTTCTGGAATTTGTTGAACTCTTAGACTGTGGCATGTGTGTCATGAATAGTTTCATTCAGATAGATCTGTTCTTGTTCCATTTCAGGTTGTTTTGTTTGTAACGCTTTCCTTTGTCTGTGATTGTAATGCTAGTTGTCAAAGTGTTCCAGATTTTCCAGGACTGAGGATGTGCTGTTTTGCTTCAGATATTAGCACAGTTTTGACAAGCGGCTTCTAAAAAGTACTAACCAAAGAAAAAGTGTGAGGGGGAGAAAGATTATAGGGGAAAGTTTTACACTTTTTCTGTTGAGTCAGATCTACTAAAATCCTTGGATTGCAGTTGAAGTTGATAATGATTTTGTATTTTGATGTCTCATAATTTTTTTTCTTGTGGGACACTATATAATCTTATTGAAATCTCTTTAATTGGTAGAAGGGCCTAATATGGGTTTATTAGTAAGATAGGTAGTATTATGCATGGACTCGTAAAGTTTATCATTTAAAGAAAAGAAATTTGAGAAAATGCAGCAAGAAGGAAAAGTGAAACAGTCCCTTTTAAACACCCTTACCACACCTGCCTTTTCCCTTGTGCCAGAATAGCTCGGTATGTCCATTAGCTTATATGTATTTCAGTGGAATTACATTTTTGTTGCCACATGGTCACCTTATAGTGGTCCCCAGCTGTAGCGGCACTGGCCACTTCTTTTTGACATTATAATACTTTGTTTGTACCCAGGCCAATAGTTGTGACTTTCTTGAAAAGAGTTTCTTTAGGGAAAAGATGCCTGTTCCTTACTATGTAAAGAGGTCTAAGTTACAATTTTGAAAATGCTGAAAAGGGCCATAGGACATAAGTCTGTGGATGAGTGTTTGAGGGCAGAATTTACTTTTTTGAAATTAAAGCTATTTTCAAGTCACGGTTTAAGTAAAACTGCTGGCAAATACTTTGTGCCAGTGGTTACTGATTCAAGTCAATCAGAAATCACTCTTAGAAAAAGGGCATTTCCTTTGAATATTTACTTATAAAACTGTCTCTCAGGCATCAGAGCTGTGCAGACAGCCAAAGTTAAGTAGAAAACATTCTGTCTAAGAATGTACCAAAACAGAAAGCAAATTAGTAAATATAAATAAGACTTTATTACTAGTTTATTCATTTGTAGAACTTGCAGGATTCCTAGGTCAATCTGTTTATGACTTTACATTTTAACCTAAGAGAATGGAAAATTTGTCTTTCATGGCAAGACTGTTTGCAGGTGTATATGTACACACATATATTAAGAACTACTCTTCCAAAGGAAACCACGCAGGGCTTGGGGCCTGCCACACTTTTCTTGTTCTTGTCCATGTGGCAAAGACAAGCAGCCCTAGCCAAAAGTAATTCCTGAAAAGGATATACTGTGGAAATCTCCAAGGATTAGTAAAAAGACAAATTGCTTTCTGAATATGAATAGAAAATTAGTTAGGTGTCTGTCCTGTTTAAAAAAACAAGCAAACAGAAAACTCTCCATGTTCTGGAATTTTTTCGTCTTAGTGATGTTTATCTATTCACCAGCAACTAAAAGTGAGGTAGGTTCTTTGCCAGCACAGAAGAGTAGTTTGAGTTATGGAAAACTGATCAGTTCCCGCAAATATTAATCTCACAGTACTTTTCTGGAGAGTCTCCGTAATTTCCCTAGGCATCAGTGAATTCATAATGCCTATACTTTGTCACTATTTGGAAAAGAAAAATTGCTTTGAAGTTTAAGTAAAGCTGGCGCTAAAGCTTACTGCTTTGTGTGCTAATGCAGCATCAGTCTGCTTTTTTTTTTTTTTTCCCCTGCATGTTTCAGTGCTGCTGTAGTCGGACATCTGCCCTTGGGAAAAATCCTGCCGTATCTGTGGTGGAGTCCCTACCTTTACAATTTTTTAAAGAGGTTTTTGAGGTTCACTCACAAAAACTCTCATTCAGATGACTAGTTGAAAAGTAAAGGAGATGTCTTGTTGGAAAATAGTGCCATGACATGTGAAGTGTTGCTTTCAGGTATAATTCTGGCAGCCTGTAGATTTCAAATGTAAGAAACTTGGTGAGTCCAGCATAGGATCATCGTCGAGCTGTGAGAAAACCACAGGATGAAATAAAAACAAGAATGACTTCTCTTAAAAAGGATTCATCTGCATTACGTTCACTGAACACAAGAAAGTTTTTACTCTGATATTGACTGTGCAGTTCAGTGCCCTGAGCTACAGCTCTGCTTTACGTGTAAGTTGTGTTTACTTAATAAAATGCTCGTAATTTTCCCTGCTTTTAGCTGTGATCTTTTGAATAAAGAACATGTTGATGATGCTTTCCTAGCTCATGCAGGCTAGGATGGGGTTCTTTCTTATCTGAATTTCTAAAGTTGCAGTATCATAGTAGGGTAGTAGCTGTCATACCCTTGTTACGGACTCTGCTGTGCCGGTCACTATCCATGCTCAGAATAAGTAGTCTGTCCATTTGCAGAGAGCTAATAGTCTAAATTCAGTAGTGCAGAGAAACTGTCTTGCTTACTTATTGTCCAGGAAAATATTTTCTTATTGTTAATGAGCTATATTACTTAGAAATCCTGATCACAGAGGGCAGATTGAATAACAGTCTATTTCACACAACTCTTTCAGTGTTTAAGATGAGAGGATACAGCAGTTTTAAGATGTGCTTGGAGGTGCTGTGGAGGGCTGGTGCAGTAAATAGCAGAGAAAAGCATGTTTTCGTAAGCCAGCTGTGTGAACAGCTGCATCTTGTCTGATTTTATCTTTTTAATGAAAAAGTCTGAATGCTACGTAAATAACGGAAATCACTACAAATTCTCCATCTAGATACAATCGGTATGTTACAGGGGCTGCCATGGTAGATGGAGATACTGAAAAAAGATGAGAAAAAGAGTATGGAGAAGTGGCATTGCAGACAAACTTGGAAGAATTTTGTTTTGTTCATAACTCTGCATGAAAGAGAGCATGAATATGTTTGTGGAGGAATGGATAAATAGGCAATGGAAGTGGATGTTGCTAGTGGAGTGAGGGATCAGGATGTAGCAATTTGCATATATGTATTTTAAGAGCTTTAATATCTTGTTCAGGATGTGGTGAATAAGGGGAGCTGGTGGACACTTGAGAAGTCTGATACGTTATTGTTAACTGACAAGGAAAGTAATTATTAATGGTAGCCCTTTATGCAAAGAGCCGTAAATATCTGGAAAAACAGCCTGGCAAGTTGTGGCAGCATTGCTGGTATAGGTTAAGCCTGGGGACAAAAGATTCAGTGGTTGACCAAGGAGAGATGCTATTTTTCTGTTTTGAAGTGTACATTGTTTCTTGGGAGTGCGTTAACATTTTCTGAGCAAATGAATCTTCCCTAAAAGACCTCTTCTGTTATCCTGGAATAAAGAACATTCCAGCCTCATTGCCCGAGTACAGGGCAGATAGTGTCCTCATGGAATTTAAATCAGATATCAGCATGTTGTCACCTCTGACTGCTAAGTGCAGTGGTTAGACTAGTTCTGCAGGGCAGTCACTTCACGATGTCAGAAACAGAGGAGAGGGACATTTTTCTTTAGCAGATGCTGCATACAACGCTTTTACAAACTGGGCAATGGTATTCCGTGGCTTGCTGCAGTGCATCTGACAGAACATGATTAAAGCGAGGCCCATAATGCATGTAAAAGTACTGCGAGTTAAAAAATAATATAATTGGTTTCAGCATGTAGTAGGTTGAGGGAATTAAATATTTAATACATCCGTGGTTGGCAGCTTTAGCACGGCTTTAGATGATGATGAACCTCAGCGTGGATTTTAAAAGTATACTACGTTTATCATCATCAAGGGGTACCAAACTCTGAATACTTGCTTTTCTTAAAGTAAAGCAAACACAAGGTTGTCAGCTGCACTCTGTTTCTGAACTGATTGCAACATGGAGAATATGTAAGTGTGAGCAGGTTTCCCCTTTTCATTTGTATTACTTTTATCTTTATAATTTAAACATTATTACACTAATGTAGTAAGTGAAGTGAATCATTGTTTTGTATTACTGAATTTCGTTCCATAATTTCTTCTTAAAAGGAGCAGAAAGGTGAAGAGCTTGAAAAAGCTCAGGCAGAACAGATTTATTTAGGGTGCCATTTTAGGGAAAAGTTATGAAATTTTTACCGCTAAGCCAGAAAATAGTGTAGGAGATAAGACAATCAGGTATCCAAGTATGAGGTAAGTACAAAATACTACTTAAACAGTCTTGAGGAGACATTACCAGAGGAGGCAATTTTTTGAAGAAAGGAGACAAGCATTGCATGTGCAAGGACAATACAGAAGGGAAAGAACAATGTAAACATTGGGAAAGATAGTATTTTTGCAGTGAAAGTAAGATAAGTGAATGGAAAAATCTATGAATTGTTGGAGATCCGAGTCGCACAGGGCAACAGCACTTGAGAACACAATGTTTGAGTTACAATTTAAAATGCTTTACTGAGAGGAATCCATACTTGAGTCTTAATGTTTTTGAGATCCGTTTCTGTGTTTCAGCTCTTGACAGTCAGCGGAAAAGATTCAGCGTTGGGGCAGTTATACCGCCCAGATTCTGCCTGACTGTTACCGAGGGTTGTTCTCATTTAAGGTAGCATCCTGCAAGATGCCTTTGAACCAACATGCAGTTACAGATAATCCAAAGCACTTGGATTATGCACACATTAATCAATTCCCAGTCTCTTCTCCCATACCAATGTTGACAAATTGATGAAGCTCACAAAGCTCATCAAGAAGGAAAGATGCCATGTGTCTCGTCCCTGTCAGAACGAAGCAAAACTATTTCATTTGTTTTAGCTTTCCTGTCATGAGCAAAGGGCTCACACACAGATCCAACTACAGAAACAGAAGAAAGTTGTAAGTTTCTGTCTTTGTGAAGGGTAGGAGTAGGAAGAGGGGAAGAATGACTTACTGTCTTTGAAGTGGTTGTTTTTTATTTTGATGTCTCACATGAGAGTTAGAAGAGTTCCTGGGTGCTATGCAGACTTCAGAAAAAGAAAGATTTCTCTTTGTTTTCTATATATTCAGGAGGATGCTGTGTTGGTAATGGCTGTTTTCTTTTTCTGTACTATGTGCTTGGATTTTCCTGGTGCAAGGGCATGTTAATGATATGTCTCACCCAAAAGATATATTTCAGAGTACATTTAGAGGAACTGAAAATTGGTGAACTAATGATGCCGAATAAAAATGAATAAATATCAATGGTGAAGGGATTAGGTTGATTTCACTGAGAAATTGTCTTGTTGCAATGAATATAACTACTTCAGAGATGTCAGATCTATTACAATCTATAAATAGAAATCTTTTTTATAGAGAAGGAAACTGCCAGGTATAGAGTAAGTTTAAAAAAAAATTAACAAGGTAGGAGAGCTGAGGCTGCTCTTGCATGAGGAGCTGAGCTGGCCAAACAGCTCGCTGCCTCTGAAAATGGCAGGTCTGGCTGCTCTTCTTTCCTCCCTTGTTTCCAGGCCCTCTGCCTTGCCCCTTCCTCGGAGGCTGTCCTGGTACTCAGGAGAGCTTTCCCTTGACTGCTTGCACTTGCTGCCAGACTCCCCTTTGTACAGGGTATTCTCTTTCCGGTTGACGATTGCGCTGTCACGGTGGTGACAGTGGTCACACGAGCACCAGAGCTGCTGCAGCTGAGCTGTAGGAGCGTGGCCCTCAAGGGAGAAGGGGGCCATCCCCATTTCTGCAGCAGTGAGCTGTTAGATCAGGTCATGCCATCTCACAGAGCTGTGTCCTGTGTTTCAGGATAAAATGGATGGTTAAGGCATTTGTGCTACATATCAAACTTAAAGCTTTAACTGTTTTACAGAAATAATCTGTCCTGGTGAAATTGCCTCTCATTTGGAGTCAAGTGCTGAAGTATAATTTAAACATGAAAAGAAATAAACACTAAACCAGGCCATATTTTTAAGTGTTAGCTTTCTTCTGCCCACATTAGGTGTGCCAGGAGATGGTATGAGAGCTCACTAGAGGCTGTGAAACCCATTTTAAGAGCTGGGTAAGTGCCAGGGGGTTAGCCGGCTTTCCGCTTTATCTTATGTGACATAGCTGTTTGACGGGGTGCTAACTACTTTTGCTGCAGCTGATCTGTGTCTATTAGACTGACTCTGTGGAAAGAGTAGAACTTCCCTGCCGTATCCAGCAGGCCTGTGGCTACTGAGTACAGCTACTGCTGCAGTAAAGAGTAGGGATTAAGGCTACATGATACACAATTTTTCTTCTGTTTTCTCCAGTTTGGTTACCCAGCTGAAAGACGAACAAAGAGGTTAAAAAAAAATGGTTTGGATCAAACCAAAGTTAGTAATTTCTCCCCAAGGCTGGCTTTGAGAGATCTTCTAGAAAGAAATGGGGAGTGATGACTTTGACTTTTAGGTTGTCAGACTTTTTTTGTCTTCTGTGATGCCATATATATATGTCTGTACTACCATGCTGCTGCAGGCTTGCAGTAAATTGCTGCATTTTGGCTACGGTATGGGCTGCAATTCAGGCAAAGTTGGTCTTTCAGGTTTGGGGGTCTTTTTTTGGAATAAAACTCTGGTTCTCTCCTTATTACTGTTTCGTTATTTTAGAACTTTTACGTATATAGCCAGACTAGATGCAAAGCTAATTTCATTTTTAAAAAAGTAATAAGGAAGCAGTTTGGATGAGCCAGTTGTATTTTCATTTGCTTTTTGTATGTGATATATTCAGGATTTGTATATGTGTATGTATAGATGAACACAGAAATAGATATACAGCACTGAATCATTGCTCAAAAGCCGTCCTTAAAAAGATGGATTATATTAAACAACTAGCAAATTTAATTTTTCTTTAGACCCTCTTTACAAATTTCAGAAAATCTTCCTATTAACTAGAGCTAGGTTTTTATTCTAGAAAGGTCTTGGGTTCTTACTGCTCCAATATTGTTATATATCTGTTTGCTTAGTCTATAAAGTGTCTCCAGGTCAATGTGGTACTTAGGTCTATTTTATGAAAATTAAAACAAAATTATTATTAACAACAGTTGGCATCAGTCATGCCCACCCCCAGGTAACCTTTAATACTAAGCAATATTCTAAAAGGAAAATTCCTTCGATCACCTGTTTAGACACTCTGACATCATTCTGTCATGGCAATGAAGTGATTTACATGGAAAAATATATTACCTCCGCTTTTAGACAAAATGAGTTTATTATGATTCATGGTTTTACGGCAAGTGTAAGCGAAACTGAAAATGACCAGCCTTTTAAAAGTGAAACGTGACATAGGATCAGTTTTCCTCCTTATTTTCTTTGTTGACTGTAAAATAGTTTGTTTTTTTTTTTTAAATACATGAAAATATACAAAGCATAACTGAAGTAAGCTAGAAACACAGCGTAATCATAGTAACGTCACTACCTGGCTGGGACTAGAGACAAAAGAGAGGAAAGCAATTTGCTTCAAGCACAGCGTCGGAACAATCAAGAGGTCGAGGGCCTAGATCCTGTACTGCGTGGAGAGAAGTTGAGGGAATTGAATGTGTTTAGTTTGAGGAGCAGGCTGAAAGGTGATCACCTCCCGCTGTCCCTTCCAGCCAGCATTTTCATGATTCTAAGATACGGCTGAGTTTGGGCAGAGGACTTAGTAAACAGCATGGTGATATGTAGGGTGAAAAAGTATTTCAACAAGAAAGCAAAGAGCACATCGTCTTTTCTGATATATGCTTTAAAATGACATTTTTAACTTTTCTATTCCTCAAACAGAACTATCTTTATCCTTAGACGTGATGTTAATAAACTGTTGTCATGCACAGAAGCCGAAATTAGGATGAGAAGATGAGGTGATGATGCTGAAGAACAACAACTATGGAAGCGTGGCGTAGACTGTAAGTTTCTTGGTACTCAGGAGGAAACGAGCATTTTTTAGATAGGATAATAATGATTTTTATTGTATCTTCCTGTCTTTTTACCTAGTTAGATTTCTTAACTAACACAATGTTTTTACACATTTAAAGAAAAAAAAGTCTATTTTAGTAAGCTTTGTAAAGTGATGAGTTTAGCACAATGTCGTTGAAGGGCACAGTTGTTTTTATGGTAACACAGGAACCGATTGGCCTTTTTTTAGGGCTGATTGATTTCAGAATGATTTAAGTAGGCTACTGAAATTTGTAAGGAGGGCATATTGATATATATTGTGATTTTGATCACATTTTGCTTTTATATGTTTAGATAACTTTCAAAAAAATGTTTCTTTTCATTGGTTGCTATAGCTATCGTAACGTAGTGATTTGCAGCAAAATTAATTACATAATGTTTGTTAAACATGGAAACCAACTACACTAATGTAGGCAAGTAGGTAAGCCCAGTCTGCTTGAATGCTTTTGAAATGGGTCTTTGAAAATGGGAGGCCGTGTCCTTAAGATTTGTAGTGGAGTTGGTACTTGTCATTTCATGGAGTTTGTATTTGAAAGGGAAAACCGCCTTTCCTGCTTCTTCAGCTTCTGGTCAGTTTCTTGGTTGTTTTTTTCTGTTTGTTTGTTTTTTTTTTTTTAATCTGCTAATTGAACTAAAACCCAAAGGCCCTTAGGGCAAAAGCTTTTGAACAGTGGAAGTCCATGCGTTTAAGAAAAATGTAACTAGTAGCCTTTTTCTCCAGAAACAGATGGAAAAAATTCAGCCTGATTGATTGATTAAAACGAAGACAAAGGTTGAGGTGAGCATTGCTTGCAATTCCATCTCCATGGAAACTTTTCTTCAGGCACAGGATGTAATATTTGGGAAGGAATATAGAGCAACTGGTGTCCTCAGATCAGGCTTTGCTGCTGGACCGCGGATGCTGACCAGCAGGGGTTGCAGCTGCGTGCCTGCGGTGAACGTGGGGGCCCTGAGTACTGTTCTGGTGCCTCAGTGCAGCTTTGATGCGTAGCAGGTCGGAGTGTTGAAATGTGGAAAATGAACTATCGGGGAAAAAGGAAAACTGGATGAATTTAGAGCCGTGTTTTTTCCTCATGGCTTGTCTCTGAGGGCATCCTTAGCAAGGAAAATCATCTGCTGTTGGCTTCTGTGCCTAAGGATGCATTTGCAAGTAAAAGCAAAAGTGTGTTTAAAGCAATAATTAAAAATACACTTACACAAGTCATACTAACATTTTCAGGAAGATAGCAGTATCAAAGCCTATTTGAAACAAGGAAGCATTTTAATTATATTATTTTTATTTAGATGATTAATCCATGTCTTGTGTTAGGCCTATGTTGAATTTTTAATCATTTAGGATTCTACTGAAATTCTCTATGTGCAAACTTGAAATTTCAGAACTGTCCTTCATGGATTTCTGCCAGCACTATAGACTCTTGAAAGCTCTCCAAGATAGAAATATCTTTCCTGAATTACACAGCTGCTTATCGGGACTCATAGACTATTGTTCTCCAGTCTTTGGATGGCTTGGCTTCTCCTCTGGTACAGGTTATCGATGTTCGGTTCCCTACTGTGTGTCATTTGTTCATCTGGCTATTTGTTTTCTAGATCAATGTTTTCCTTAGAGGCACAGAGAGAAAAGAGTGAAAGGAAGTTTAATGCATCAGGTAGTGCAAGTACAAAAAGGATATGTTGTCCTCTGGAGTACCTTCACTTCAGTCTCCGTTTGCTGCCATCAGCAGTAATTTTTTGTGATTGAGTGTTTGCAACAGTTTTTTATCTCTTTTTTTTTTGGGGGGGGGGTGTGGTGGTGGTGAAAACTGTATCAAGACTTCAATCATCACTTGAATGTAATTTCCTCACTTGTCTTCCGTGTTCTGTGCTATGGATCAGGAGGTCCCTGTTCAACCCTTCATGTTGTTAGTGCTTACAGCGTCCCAGGGAGCCGTAAGGCAGCGGGTGCTTCAACGTCTGTGTGACCTGGCTGCACACTCTGTTGCCTTTAGTGACTATGAAGCAGACTGGAAATGGGTTGAATTGAATCTGGAAGGAAAATTTTTTCCTAGTTTTGGGCTTCTGAAATGCTCTGGGACTTATCCAGGATCCCACATGCTATGGCAAAATTCAGTCAGCCAAATGGTTGCCTGGTTTCTCTTGTGACTTCTGCTGAGCTGGAGGCCAGCCCCTGTGAATGTTATATATCTCATCAAGTTTCACTGATTGAAACTGCCTCAGGCCCCAGTTGGGACTTTCACAGTAACAACTTGGTAGCAGAGAGGATGGGTCCTGCTGACAGACATACCATTTCCTTTTTAGCAATCCTGCTGTTGGCTATCAGTTTTTGATCTGCCATGTCACTTCTTTTTCCTCATGAATCATTGCCATTGTACATTGCTTGCAAAAATTCGCAAGGTTTTTCAGGACAGCCTGAACCATAGCTAATAGCCAAGATGCAGGCTGGGACTCGCATCCGGCAGGACAGTCTGCTGCCAGCACAGACGGGGGGATCTGGCACCTGCGTTCCATAACGTGCTCGCCTGGATGTGCCTATGTAATGATGATGGCCTTGTTACTTCTTCTGTTGACCACAGTGGTACCTCTCACGCCGTGTTAAAGACTTGCCCTGGTACTTGGAGTGGTTCTGCTGCGTTGGCTTCAGCTGAGACTGCTGTACAGCTGTGCCATCATGGCCAGCTCATTGCTACCTGCTTACAAGGTGCTTGCAAGAGTGTAGAAATAAGCTTACGTATTATTACCAGAGGTCTCAAAAGAAGGAGGTTGGAGTGATAGAAATTACTCACTTT